CACAGTGATTTCCATTTCCATCCATGTTGCTGAAAATAAAGGAATTCAATTCTTTGCGTTGAATAATATATAGATATGTATATATATACGTATAAGTATTATTTCTTTATCCATCTGTCAGTTGACACCTAGAGTTTATTTGCTTCTCTCAGCTGTTGTGAAAGTGCAGCATAAACATGGGAGCATATATGTACCCTCTCTGTACCCATATTCAGGCTTTCTTTTCCCTGAATATATACCGAATAGTGAGATTACTTCATCATATAGTGGTCCTATTTTTAATATTGTGAGGAATCTATTCTGTTTTCTATAATGACTGCACTAATTTACATTCCAATAAAGGAACGGGCAAGGATTTCTTTCTCACCAAATCCACACCAGCATTTGTTAATATCTCTTTCATAATATCATTCACACGCAAGTGGTGTCTCTTTGTGGTTTGATTTATATTTTCTTGACGTTAATCACCCAATAAGAAAATAATGTCCCAACTGTAGTACTAGCTTTGAAAAGTGACTACATGTAATTGCCTAAATATTTTTTGAGGTTAAATTGAAGACAAATATCACAACTCAAAAATTCAAAATAACTGTCTACATATTTGCTCTAGAAAAACATGTCTCATATTGCTTATACTTTGTTAGTAATAATTATGAGCTTATTAAACTGAAACAACCTTTGAATGGACACCCAAACACACATAGACTGATAATCAGTATTTTTCTTTCTTTTTGCTAAAGTTGAAGAGACTAAACATTACACTTAAATATAATTCCTTTAATCACTGAATTTGGTCAAAATTACAATTTCTGTTTTCTCATGCTAGTTCAGTTTAAAAGCATAAAATCGGCCATATTATCTGTGTGGCATCTCTGATAAATCCTTTGGTAAATGGAAAAAGTTATTACTATGTCAGTCACGAGACAGCTGAAACAAATATGTAATTATATTTATGGCTTAGTACTATGTTTGACAGATTGGGAGTGTGTCAGTTATTAGTGAAGGCTTTGTGATACTATTTATAATTATTTTCTCTATCATGACCATTATCCTCTTATAGGGAACAAAAATAACAATTATTTTATTTTATTTACTGGCATAATTTCGTAACCCTCAATAAATTTAGGAATACCCATATTATACAGGAATATAGCACACAATCATCTTGTGATTACTCAGTTATTTTTTTCTCCCTCCGTACTAGATCTGCATTAGGGCAAAAACAAATTCTTTCCACCACTAAAGCATTTCTTTACTGGACACAGTATTGAATCTCGAAATGAAAAATAAATGAATAAAAGGTAAAAGTAAAAGGTATTTAGAAACATTCAGTGGTATGTGTTACTTTATAATATTTTTAAAAATCCTAAAGATTAAAATCCTTAGAGAGATGCTGCGATTCTAATTCCAAATTCTGGAATGTTTTGGCTTCCAGATTACAGCAGATGGTTGAGATGTAATGAATAAAAATTCTTTGAACTAGGTTAAATCTATGTAACAAGACCTTTAAAATATTTGAATCACTTTTATATCTCCTTTTGTATGTTTCCATAGTATAAAAATCTAGAATTAAAATGTTAGACAGTTTTCCAATCATATTATTTCAGAAAACCAGAAAAATATGAAGATTTGAGGTAGACATTTTCCACATTAAAACTATTTATAAGTGACCGATACCTCAAGCCAAAAGATTAATTACTGAATTGTTGCCTTTAGGCTTAAAATGTTTACAGTGCATTCTAACTTTATTTTTATACATAGAAAAAATAAAAGTTGCAAATTTTACTTTTATCAAGTACAGCATTCTACCTATAAAGTTAAATGTCACATCCATATTGCCTGTAAAAACTGTATGTAATAAGCCAACACAAAGGAAAAACTTTGTCTACAAATATTAAGATGTTGTGAATGCTCATCTTGAAAACACAACCTAAATTACACGGTTTGAGATGTTACTTACAAAATACAAGATAGCATATATGCTTTTCTATGGGATGAGAGAATTAAACCTGTTTTAATATAACATACCATACAGTGTGTCTTAAATAAATATATCTCATTGCCAGAAAATTTGGGGTGGGAGAATAAGGTTACTATATTACTGAATAACTCAATAAACAATGCATTAGATATATTTGCCTGTGGAAGGGGAAGAAATTGACTATGAATATATAAAACTATGTATAACATGCCATATAAAGCAATTATAAGACAGCTGGATATTTAATACAGATACTTCAGAATTTCAAACCTTTAACTGATTTTTATGCCATCTTTTATTCTTCCAAAAATGTGTTCCATTTACTTGCAGAAAATGCTACTCTGTGGACCACATCCTTGAGGGCTTGCTTCACTTGCTGGTTCCTCAGAGTATAAATGAAGGGGTTCAGCATGGGAGCCACAGAGGTGTTGAGAATGGCGACTCCTTTCGTCAGCGAGGCCTTGTCCTTGGCAGAAGGGTTAGCATACATGAATATGCAGCTCCCATAAGAGATGGAGATGACGATCATGTGAGAGGAACAGGTGGAGAAAGCCTTCTTTCTCTGATGGGCAGAGGGAATTTTCAAAATGGTTCGAATAATGTACATGTAAGACAAAACGACTAGTGCCAAAGTGAACAGAAGGGTAACTAAAGCAAAGTAGAAACCAATCACCTCTAGCTGCTGCGTGTCTGAGCAAGATAGTTGCAAGAGGGGAAAGTAGTCGCATGCGAAGTGGTCAATGACGTTGGAAGCGCTGGAGAAGCGCTGGAGAAGCTCCAGCTGGAGAAGAAGCATTAGAGGAGGAAAGATGGTCAGAAACCCGCCCGCCCAAGCACACAGCACCAGCAGTATGCAGAGCTTCCTGCTCATGATGGTGGCATAATGCAGGGGCTTGCAGATGGCCACGTAGCGGTCGTAGGACATGGCGGTTAAGATGTAAAATTCAGTCACCCCCATGAAGATAAAGAAAAAGAGTTGGGCGGCACAGTTGTTGTAAGAAATGGTCTTATCCCTGGTGATAATTGCTCCAAGAAACCTAGGGATGCACACAGTTGTAAAGGATATTTCCAAAAAAGAGAAGTTCCGGAGAAAGAAACACATGGGCGTCTGCAGATGGGGGTGCAGCAAGGTTAGAGTAATGATGGTCAGGTTTCCAGCGACACTTAATATGTATGTGATAAATAAAAAGAGGAAGATGACAATCTGAAGGTCAGGATCATCAGAAAGGCCGAGGAGGACAAAGTTTGTAATTGCTGTGCGATTCATCTGTCCCTGTCCCTCTATCGCTTCCCTTTTTCCATCTTAAAAGATATTTTAGGGAAGAGAGAATTAAAAGGAAGAGGAATAATACAATTCAATATAAACCAGTCTCAAATATCTTCCACAGACTGTAACAATTTAATTTTGAATATTTTCTTTGCATTATATTTTAATACGTAACTGTGAATTCAACTTGTTCCCTACTTCACTTATTCTAGATATAAAAGCAGAAGTTAAGAATTTTTGTGTGGCAGCCCATATTTGAGACAGAATGAAATCAATAATTCTTGTTTTCTGTGCAATGTATACAAAATGCCTTTGCTGAAATAATCGTATGAAGGATGTTCTTGTCTCTCTTTCTCCATGATGTATGTACTAGATACCTTAGGTAAGTTTACAACCTAAAAACGAAAATAGACATTAATTCCATCAATATCTGAAGGAGAAAATTAGAAGACTAAGGTAATAAATGATAATTCTTTTTCTGATATAAGAAGCTAATTAAAAATTGCTTAAAATAAAATATATGCCACTACTCTAATTGCCAATTTTATTTTTAATATTAATATTTTGTCAAAATAATGAGAACATTCTATTTTTATTCTGTATACTTAATATAAGATAAGAAATATAGGAAGATTCTGCACATATTATCTTATTTTGTATAAGATACAGTCCATATTTTATATAGTATGTTCACTTACAATTTCATAAGTCTGTAATGTTTGATGTCATCTATGATATGCTAGAAAACATAGAGTATATTTAGACATTATTATTTTTGAGCTGAAGTGGACATGCAATATATATTTATTTATTTATTTATTGCTATGGAGAATAGAGGGGAAAAAATACTTGCCTTAGATTTTAGCAACTTTTCCAGTGGGATGACAGCACAGGTATGTTTTCAACTTGAAATCAGCCCTCTTTATCTACCAGGCTTTATGGAAAAATGTTTTATTCCCTCGTAATTTTGCCTTACATAATATCACTCAGCCTGTGCAGCCGCTCACTCACAAGGACATCCAGAGATGTATAGTGAAACGGCTTCCTTTCATCTTAATGTAGTCAGTTCATTCCCAGCTATTCAAACACTGCCCTGGGAATACCAGGCTGTACATATGGTCTGCTACATCTTGATGTGTCCCCTGCATATTTTAGATTGTCAAATCTACAGTGAAGGACAGAACAGAAAGTCATTTGTTCTCCGTCAGACACTAGCAAAGAGCACATTAATCAAATTTGATATTATTTTTCCCTATTTTATGATAGTTGGACTTCAGGAAGTAAAAATGGAATGCCAGAAAACTTCAAAAGATGTAGTAATAAGTATTTACCTGTCCTATATTTGTAGAAAGCTAAGAAATAATATTCAAGAAAGGACAGAGAAAGATCTGGAAATGTGGGGGTTTTATGACTTATAGATGCTTAAGTTAGGATCCTGCTCTGTGGGGTTGTATTTGTATCTCCAATATTCTAGTTCTTCTTGTTTTGACTTAGAATGATTTGGTCTCTTGAGAACAAGACAAAGTCCAAGCCACATCTCTACTGTCCTGTAGACCAAGAGGGATTTCTTGATGCCATCCTATAGTGTCTCAGTAGTGTCCTAAACCTTTCTTTTGTGATTGTCCTTTGAGAATGGATAAAATCATCTTTGTAATCCACAGAGAACCGACAGTGTTGTCTTGTACAAAGCATTTATTTCCTTAATTGCAAATTCTAAATATTTTTCTTAATATTTCATAATAAAAATAGTCATGCAACTCACTTTGTCTCAAATTGAAATTCTTAACCTGATTAATATTTATACATCACTTTGAAATATGAAAATTTTTACAAAATACCTTTTTTAATGATTTCCCGTATTGTTTGGTTTTACGGCATCAGAAAGAAAAATATTGTACAATGCTACAGAATAATTACTACAATGTACACATTTGCTTCAAGCTTTTAAAGATGTTTTTAATTTCTTAAGTTATTTCATTCTCATCAAAAATTTCAATATTAATTGTCCTGTCATTTTGGTTCTTCATGTTATTCTTGTTGACCTTTATATTTATTTATCCTTTTTACCATTCTAACAGGAAATATCATAAAATGATTTTATTTATTGACATTCTAACTAGTTGATTATAACTAAATATTCTCTAATTCTATACTATTTTCCATATATTTTGGCAATAAAATATATGTAATTGAATTATAACATATTTTGATATAAATTCATAGAAATCAATAATATATCATCTTATAAGAATTTTCAATACAAATGAGTGTTATATTTTGGCAAAATCATACATATCTGGTATAATACAGCAATAAATTTACACAATAAAATTATTTTATTTTTCCAGCATTATTAAAGTATGATTTAAAAATTATATATATATTTATAGTATACTACATGTTTTGATATAAATATATATTGTGCAAGAAATAATAATCTGGTCACCCTTACAGAACTATATCATGGCTGGGATACGTTTTTGTTTAAGAATGATTTTGCTTCTGTAAGAGTGCTCAATAAAACATTTTGGAAGATGTGGCTCTGTAGCATAGGAAGTGATATACTTGTTTAATTCTTATTTATACTTGTTTAATTCTTATTTAATGTTGTAGAAATAGTAAAAGTGATATTTTATTTTTATCACAAAAACCCAACTAATATGGAAGTGTACCATTCAGGCAGGGACATGTGCAGCAGTGTCACCCTTGTTGGAATCTTCTGGTCTCCTAGTCCTAACAAATTCCTGCAATTGCTATGCTTAGATTTAGAAACTTAAGTCAGGTTTAGGGTTAGGGTGAGGGTGAGGGTTAGAGTGAGGGTTAGGTACAGGTTTGTTGTTTGTTTGTTTGTCTGTTTTTATTTGCAAGACCACTCCAGAAATGGAATTTTATACTTTCAACTGAGATACATTTTTAACCAATTTTAAAAAAATCTTAGTCACCATTGGTGATTAGTGGTTGAATACATTTCTCATTATGTGCTACAAAATGGCAGAATCTGACTATATCTTTTAACGTTTGCTTATAAATTATCATAGCTCTTATAGAAAACCCTAGATAAATTCTTGCTCCGTGCTCTATGCATTATTCCAAGTTGCTTCTCTAATAATTTTTGTAAGTGTTATTAGGAACACATGGACTATAAATTTTTAATTTGTTTTAGATCACATTAGTGTTTGATAAATATTTCAGGGAAAATTTAAATTGACATCTTTCCCCTTTGGGCCGCAGACAAGAGGAAAATCTTCAGGGTGGCTTTTAACTTTTCTAAACCATACATATTTAATTTTGATTGTTTCCTTCTTATTTGGTATTAGTTTTTTTTCATTCTCATGCAACATTTTTCTGCATTAGGCCTGGAATCAAAGATTTCTTCAAAGCCGATGCCTTCTGTTGATTCTGAAATGCTAAATCTAGAGAAGAATTCTGGCATAAGTTATTACACTTATTATGAGGTTGCTCACCTTTCCTAAGTATTTCAAGGGGACAAGATGCCCATGCATTAAAAAATAAACTACCTTATGAGCACATACTAAAATAGGCTTGAATTTAACATGTCAGGTTTTTACTGTAACCTCTTCTGTCTTTCATATGTCTGTATCTCTTTTCTCTAATAAAGAGAATACAGTAAAAAAAAAATCAAGTAAACATTTAGTGTCATGTTAATCTTCATGTGTTTTTTTTCCAAACACTGTAGATCTAAAGGTATTAGGAGAATGTTAATGGCCCTGCACCCAGAAATTCATCCCTGGGAACACTAAGTTGTTCTCGTGTTTCTCTCTGTTGCAGGTTAAATCTCACGTGGATGTGCAATACAATTTTCTTTGAATAATCCTGTTCATGTGATCATCTTACCAACTAAATACATACTTCAGTATTTTAATTAGTTATGTTTGTTTCAGAAATTCTACTTTAAAGTTAAATAGATTTTTAATGACTATGGTGGACTACTGAATGGTCAGCATGTAACATCCAGGTGAACTAAATCAGTATGGTTCTTGGTACAGAAGGCCCCAAGGATTGTTACCAACAGCATAAAAAGGAGAACTGGAGGGGGAAATGGTGTGCTGATAATTCTCCTGGAGGAGCTTGTCGTTCTGGCTTTCCTGATATGAACTCAGCTGTTCTCATTGTGGGAGGAGCTTGGGTCCTTGCTGTCACTGAGGATGGCTGCGGTTCTTTTTGGGGGAGCTCTGGTCCTTACAATGAGCATCGTTTCCATTGAAAAAGGATAGGTAAAGAAAATGAGACATATTTATAGTGCAATATCATTCATCTTTACAAAAATAGGAAGTTCTGCCATATGTTACAACATGGATGAATCTGGATGACCTCATTCTGAGTGAAATAAGTTGGTCACAGAAGGTCAAATACAGCATAACTTTACTTTTAAGAGATAGCTAAGACAGTCAAACTTATAAAATTGGAGAGTAGAAATCTGACTGTCAAATATTAAGCAATGGATGACATGGAGAATTACTAGTGAATAGGCATAAAACTTCAGTTATGCAAGATAAATTCTGGAGACCTGCTGTACAGTGACATTGCATTCTCGTTAGGGCTGCCAACCCCAATCTGGCTTAAATTTTGTATTTGCAGAAACAGCTCCTCTTCCCTGGGAACTGAGGTTAACATTCCGTACTGCATCATTCTTCTCTCTGCACTGTCTTCAGATACTGCAGTTTTTCTGTAATTCCTACTCCTCCTGTCAGCAATTCATTGATTCCTGGAACTCTACTTCTCTTTTTTTGTTGTTTTTTGTTTTACTTCCAGTACCAGGAATCAAACTCACGACCTTGTGCTTGCTAGGCAGGCACTGTGTCGCTGAGCTGAATCCCCAGCCCCTCTACTTCTCTTTCTGTTTCCTAATTTTTTGTTTCCCTCGTGTTTTCATTCTGGTTACTGGAGAGCTGGGATTCGCTGGTGTTTTGCTCTGCCATCTTTCCTCATCATCAGAGTAGAAGTATTGACATAGTTGTCACAAACAAGGGGTGCAACAG